CACCTTTTTATAAAATATTTCATGACGGTCAGAAGCAATACAGAGCTGAAAATTTTCTATTTTCCGGTGTAAAAAGTATGGCCTTTTTCTTTTGCCTGTACAGGTAAATAAAGCCTAAACGTAGAAATTTTGGCAAGTTTTAACTGTGCTTTGTGTCTGTAATCAAAGCTGTAAAACTCAAACSTTTTCCTTTATGTTTCATGGAATATGTGTGATTCTCTGTGCATGCAGGTGCACCTGCATGCTTGAGACAGTGATGATAAGCTTGCTATACACATCAGGGGAAAAAATGGCTCTGTAGTAGTAGCTGAAGTCACTTTTAAGTACCCTCTAAGGTTGTGCCAGAGAGATTTAGCAGAGTTCTAGTCCTACTCATTTTTATGACTTAGCACCATCCATTTTCTGCTTATCTGACATGACAGACTTGCTGAGATGCTTTCAGATTGCTTTATAAGAAGGAAACAGCAAATGTCACAAGCATGCTAATTGAAAGCTAATATAAAATCAGTATTAAATACCAAATAAGAAAAGCATTTTCAATGCACTTTATGATTTTGTGAGTTAGCCAGAATCATTTAAATCTGAATATTATCTTGCAAATCAGACACTTTCCTATACCATATTACCAAGATACCGATACTTCTGCAATCCATCTCTGTATTTATCCCTCCCTGCATAATCTTAGCAGTTCAGCAGCAGAACGTTAAAAAAGCAACTCGATTTGACATGATTTTAAAGGTACTGCTTCAGCTGCATTAGCATCCATACACAAGGCTACAAATAAAATAAGCAGTGTTTTATTAATGACCCTGTGGCTCGAGAGAGGTCAGCTTCCTCTGTGTCCTATATATTCACTGCTCCTCATGCTGGCAGTCTAGTATAGACAGTGTTAAGATATATGCAGTTGGTTGCACATTTACTCATTCTTAGTGAAGTCAGCATCACTTTCTAGCAATATATTTGCATTTATTTTCTTATTTTCTTTATTTTCATTATGATAAATGTCATCTTTTCCTTGGTCATCTGCAATAAAACCTTTGGAGAGCAAGCTGTAGGAAACTGACCTTAGGGAAGTCTTCCAAAGAGAACATCTTCCATCCTTTGACAATGCTTGTAATAGAAAGCACCGCAAATCTGAAATTTTAGCAGTTTTTCTATTTCAGGATGTATCCTGTAAGAGACATCAATTATCCTTTAAAGTTTTCCAGCCATTATGTTGGCCCAGCAGTAGGGAAAGGGCCTGCTTTTTTGAGGAGCACCCTGCTGTCACTGTGGCTTCCTCTCCCACTTCTCTTTGGGCCTTGATCTTGCAGGAGAACTAGAAGGGAAGGCGCCCTTGCATATTTGCCTTTCAGAATAGGGGTGCATATCAGAAGATCCTGCTCTTTGCCTTTTCTAAGCCTAGCATAGCAAGATGTGTGGTAATATTAAAGGAAACTTTAACAGACGAGAACAAGCTGGATTAGTCATTGCTGAAATTCTGATACCCCCAGATCCATTAACACGTTTGCAGTTTGTTTTGGCAAGTTGAATCTTTTTGGTAGTCATTGTCAGGCTAATGAATACTTATACCATTAAAAATGTATAGAGAAATGAGCAGAAAAAAATATTTGARCTAAATCTCTGTGAAGTTTAACATTTGAATTGTACGTGTTGTTGTTTTTTTACTAGTACAGTGCATGATGATGTGTTAAGAGACCAAATTCTGATTATTAAAGCAAAATTATCTCTCACTTTAAGATTTGAAGAATAATATTTGTAGAATGAAGTATGTGACTAAGAAGATGGGGATTTGATCAACATTAAAAACTACATAAATTGACATTTATGGAATATATTTTCATTTAATGAATCTCCTGTGCTAGCTGCAGGTGTATCATTATCAGTATCAACTGTATCAGTGCTTATATAGAGAGAAGTTTTTCTCTCTTTTCTAAATTTTTCTAGTTACTTAATTTTGGAAATTGTAGTGGTGAAATTATCCAAATTTTGTATCCTATCAAAGCAAAGATGCTCAAGGAAGAGGTTAGGATTTTTATTAGCTACTGTCATTCTCTCCCAAAGTCAGCACAGTTTAGAGCCAGGTGGTACATGACTATGTAGGCAAACAGAAAAATTGCTGTATATTTTATCTGTGTTTCTAAGAGGGAAAAAAAAAAGGTGTTAAATTGACTGTTAAATTCCAAAGTGACCTGTTGGGCTAGCAGGCAGAACATGATATATTAAATAAGGGATGTGAAAGGCGTTACTGTTGCTAAAGAGAATTTGCAAGAAGTAGGGTAATCTTAAGGCATTAAAGTTACATTACGGAGATGGTTGAGATTTAATTTAACTCCAAGGACATTTAGTGCTGCACTGCTAGTATTACTGCTATTCTTCATGCAACTATAGCTGCATATCTTTCATTCATCAAGCAAATAATGCAAGTTTAGTAACTCAGAAGTTAAATTTAAATGAAGATATTGTAATCTTGAAACTTCATAAGTCTTCTGAAAGTAAAACTGAAATATWGCTTACTACCAGTTGTTTACTACCAACCCTGTGGCAAACAGTTCTACGATTTAACTAAAAAAAAAAACTAAAAGTTGAGATGTATTTCCTTTCTTTAAGCAAGTAGAATGATAATTTCCTTATTTCCCTCTTGGTTCTTGTATCTTTGAAAAACAGTGAGATTTTTTTCTCTGTTCAGTCTTTCCATACGTTTTTATTATGTGGTATTTATTTATCTGGTATTTGAGTTTTGGGGATAAAACTGTCAAAGAGCATCTTTTTTTGCAAAGTCTGGAGAAGTCGGTGCAAAAAAAGTTTCCATAGTTCAAATGGACTTTGATTCAGGTTGATAATTGTGCRTTTGGGGGCCCAGGGAGTTCTGCTTTGCCTGTGCTTGCACAGCATCTTTTTATGCATGTTTGCCTCTGTTAAAGAGAGTTTTTGGGGCAATACTGCATTTTATCAGCTATTTTGTTAAATGTTCTGTCATAGAGCAAACCAGGCAAGTAAAGAGCATTACGTTAAGTGCTGTTACTTAAAACTATGTAAATGAACATTTTTTCTACAAACGATGTGTAAAATCATCAGGGGGAAGCAGTATTATCACTTAGTAATAGTTTGAGTACAAAAAAACAAAAGTGCACTTGCCATCAATTACTTCCATGCATGTTATTTTCAGATTTTTTTCTTCACTTTAATAACCTRTATTTGTGATAATACAGATAAAAATGATGAGTGTTTCTGTTCCCTTTATATGTAGCTTTTTACTTTTTCTTTAGGGCAATGTGTTTTCAGACTTGGTGTGACATTTTAAAGACTCACCTTATTTGCCGTTAATACAACGGTATCATTAGTGTAGTCATCAAGAAAGTGCTTAACGCTGGAATTAAATATTAATTGCTTCTGTAGAGCTTTGCTCAGATATCACTTGCTGGGTTCGTTTTCCAGTGAGACACACACATTCCAGCCCTTTATTTTCTCTTGTGGAGCCCCTGCAGTCAGGCTCTAACTAAGGGGTCTCCAGCCGTTGAGGGGGGCTCGTGTGCTCCTAACGCTGCAGAAATTGCCCTGGCAGAGCCTGTGTGTCCCGCCTCGCTTCGTGCTGCCCCTGGGGATTGTTCCAGCAGGTAAAATGCCCCACGTTAGCTCCAACACTAATTACACTTTTGTTGCTTTTTTGAGGAAAATGGGAATAACGCTGCACTAAAATGCACTGAACGAAGCCTAAGCAGATGAGGGAAGCACAGATGAATTTCTGAGGCAGACGAGGTGTTGCCAGGGTCACCCTGGCTTCAGCAAAAGAATACGTTCCCTTAGGAAAAAAATGGCAAGGAAAAGAGTAAGCAATCTGCCAGAGAAAAATTACTAATTTTCAATCTTCTTGGAATCTTAATTCCTTACTGGATTCTAGGTCGGATCCTGCCACTTCTGCCTTATGTTACTCTTCCCCAAGAAACTCCCCCATTTTGACCAGGTAGGAAACAGGTGGCTAAATGTGCCTGTGGAGAAGACCTAATTTGTGGTACAGCATGAAGTCCTTGCTGCATCCTAGTACTACTGAGCAGTGAGACTATGTTATGCCAATACCAAATGTAACCATTTTGTAGGTGTAAAGTAGATCTTTTGCATTGATTTTTCAGTTTTACAGGGCAGGTGACAAAAGTCATGAACAAAAGTTTTCATAAATAGATTCTAGTAGGACAAAAAGGCATCAGCAAATGCTTGATGGGAAGCTCCTTTCAGTTGGTGCCATRGGTGCTAAAAATTGCAAACCGTACCCTCACAGCACGATACACTGATCAGAAAGGGGGRCAGGGGCAGGTCTTCTGAATCGTGGAGCAGTTTGCCCTACAAGTCTGTTGAGGAAACTCTTGGACTTGAAAGATGCATCTTCAGTTTAGCTAAATTTCTTGCCAGGCAGCAGTGTAGGTGGAAGGGAAAGATCTTCTCTCTTTTTACCTTGGTTGTGTGCGACTTGGAAGTGATGTTTAAATTGGAAGGATGACTTCCTTGGAAGTCATTGTGGAAACGATGGAATTGCTTCATGAATGCAACATGGAATTGCTTCATGAATGGGTCATACCTGCCTTTGAGGTCTAGTAGGAAGCTAGTTTGACTTGAACTTCATGATAAGTAGTAATTGTTGCTGGACTTTGGTCTGAATAAGTAGCGCATCAAGCAGAAAATTATTCTCTGATACTTTTGTATTGCAAAGGAGAATTTTCTGTCTCTAGTTTTCTGTGAGGAGGAGGAGAAAGAATCATGAATTTTAGAATATTGTCACTTTGCTGACATCCAAGTCAGGTGAAGGTTTACAAGACAGAGAATGAAATAGTCTTTAATTTGGGCAGATAAGAAGAGATTTATGTGCTCACATTTGGGGCAAATGAATCCTTCCAGTAGTACAGAAGTATATAGATCTTGTTAGGATTACTCAGTTTAACCCAGACATAATCTGATTTTTAAGTACAATTCAACTTATTATGGTATTTTGTTTCCTTTCCTTACAGGTGTGCTGGTCCTCTGATCCCTTTCAGAATGCCGCTGGTAAAAAGGAACATTGACCCCAGGCACCTGTGCCACACTGCTCTGCCCCGAGGAATCAAGAACGAACTGGAATGTGTCACCAATATTTCCTTGGCAAATATAATCAGACAGCTGAGCAGCTTAAGTAAGTATGCCCCCCCAGTAGCTGTATTTAGCACTAATATATATTTTGCATTCACAGTTTTTGTAGGTTACCACTAGAGTTGTGTCTGAGCTTTGAATCCGTTCCTTTTGTAGCTGGTGGAGGTGAACTTAGATTTCACAGGGGATATTTGCAGTAGCACATCTCGGAAATGTTCATCTGTATAATTCTATAATCCTACTACTGGTGAAGCATAACAGAAAAAGAYACCTGATATTTAATAAAAGTCAATAATTGCTAAACTAGAACTTTTGCTAAGTAAGGAATATGGCATAAAGAGGAATATATCCCTTATTGTTTAAATATCTTAATTTGCGTGGTTGGTGATGTTGTGGTCATTAAGAGAAAAAAAGAAAAAAAAAAAAAAAGAGTTGTCTTTAAAGTAGTAAAATCAGCATGTAACTATTGCATAGGATTTTGAACAGCTGAAGGTTTTGCTTCCTCCTGCAGCTGTTTTTCCCTTAGTGCATGCTCAAAGGAGTGAACACATCTCAAGCTCCCGAGCCCTGGAGGAGGTTTTCTGGAAAGCCTGGTTTCCTTTTTCTTTCCACAAGTTGCAGCACTTTAAAGAGTTGTCAGATGAACCAGCACGTAGTAGTTTGAATTTCTAGTACTTTAAGTGCTTTTTAAGCACCAGGACACTAGGATTTTCCAGACTGCCAACATATTAAATATTAAGGAGTACATGCATATACATACAGAGTGAAAAGTCTTTCAGCTTCTTCAGTGTCTCAGGAGCTTAGGGATGTAGCCTAATTTGTTAATTAGATTGATTTGGTCCTTGGTTTGATGGTATACTATATAGGATACCATCAGTATACCACAGTGCTGTGTTTTGGCAGCTTTTCAAAGCAGTTAGGCTCCTATTAGGTTGAAGACTGTAATTGAGGACATGGAATTATGCGACTGAAACAGGACATGCTTGCAGAACAAATATATGAACGTTAGCACTACAACTTTGGCAACAGCAAGGAAAATAATTTAACCATTTAAAGCTTGTTTTTAGTGACGGGTGCAATAGAGATCATGACTTGTGGGGGTGATTTTGTTCCATTTAGCCAAAAGCCTCTCTTGAACTAGCCCTCATGTACTAGTCTTTCGTTCTAAGTCAATCATAATAACATTGACTTCATTTCTTCTACTTTGACTTGTTTTAAAAATTCTTACTTGGTTGTGTATTCTATTTGCGGAGATTTCATAGGACGCAAATTTTCATAGGTGGGAAATCAAGCTCACATTAATCCTGTGATTACCCCTCTCAGTCAAGGACCATAACATCATATTTATATAAGCAGTTGATATTTTTTCTGGGAAGTTTGATTTGACTTCTAAAACACCCAACCAACTACTTGGCTTTTCAATTTTGAGAAACAGCAATTCCCAACTCAGCATCACTCAGTGCTTATATTTTGAGGTTTGGCTGCATTTGCTGTGTTTTCTTGAAATACAGACCTTATGGGCTGACATGACTGTTCAGGAAGAGATCTGGATGAAGCAGTGCCAGAACAGCAGGAACTTGATTAAGGGAGAAAAAGCTTAATCTAGAAGAACATCTGCTAAATGGTCCCCAGATCTGCGATGTCGCTCACCTAATGCTATTTGACTATGACTGTTTGAGAGACCTTTTCAAGGGAATACAGCCATAATTATACTACTCCTCTCTAAAAGGAGTGTGGTTCTACATTAAGTGTGCATACATCATGATRAGCCCCGTATTAGCTCCTTTTGCTCGAGAGCAATTCCTGGCATGAGCTTGTGGCACCACATTGSTCAAAAGGTACATGAAGTTAGAGATGAAATGAAGGCAAAAGAGGGGGGAGAAGATGCTAGTTTTTTAAAAGCTACCAGCAAGCCAGAATAGATCATCCTAAATTTTTAAAAGCGAGCTAAGCACTGATGAGCAGGAGCTCATTGCTTCAGGCTTTTGCTCTTCTTTGCAGATGGCATCAGGGTGTTTGTTTTCCTACAGACCGTGTCTGAACCAAGTGAATTCCTGATGACAACTGTTGCTGTTCCGAGTTTCATGCAATCAACTAATTAAACTTTTCACTTTGTAAATGTTTGGTTTATACTGCATATTTGATAATTAAAAACCACATTTTTTTTTCTTTGCAATTAAATGTTTTGCAAACAAATGCATATTCAAGCRGCAACCCCACGGACCGCTATATACCAAGGGCAAACGCATTCTAAAGGCAGATGAATACCTTCAAAAGGATTTGGCTTCTGCTTCCCGTTGCCTTTCTGCCCRTTGCCGCTTGCAGCGATACAAATGCAAAAAAAGGCAGGGGTGTTTTTCCAGCATGGGAATGTTGTCCTGCACATTGCCAGCCAACCAGCCCGTGTGCGCGGCGTGTTTCGCGCGCAGTGCGGCCGCTGACAGGCAGAGGAATTGCCGTGGGCTCCGCTGAGTCACAGCCAGCAGGCAGCGTTTTCCAGCCGTCCCCTGGCAACCGGCTTCTCCGGCTTTTCCGCAGCGCTCCCCTCCTTGTTTGCTGGAGATGATGCACGTGTTGCTGGAGGATCGGCCTTCGAGGGGCAGGCGAAGCTGTGGGGTTTGATTCGTTTCCTTTAAACTGAAGCTGCTTTTGCTTTTGACAGCAGAGGTGTGTGAATTCAAAGGAGTCGTCTGGAACTTGATGAGCACTTGGTCATTCCTGCCTCAAAGGGTTTTCACTTACTCACCCTCGGATGGAGGATTAATGTTTGTCATGATGGCTTTCAAGAGCAAGCATTCCTAACCTTTGTGCTGATGTGCACAGAGGTGGAACTGGGGCTTTCAGTGCTTCAAATGATGCCCAAACACCTTATTTAGAACAGGAAAGTTAGAGGCTTGGCGTGTGTGCAGTTAGTTCTCCATTCTCRGAGATCCTCGGAACCTGAATGGATTCAGTCCCTTAGCAGCCTCATGTAGCTGGGCCTCTTGTGAGAAGGGGGTTGAACTGCCTGACTTCTGGAAGTCCTTCCAYGCCGAGCAGATCCGTGCTCCTATGACCTAGCTAACACGGGCTAATAGAACATGCCTGCAGCTATAATGTGACAGGAATCTCCTTTTCTTGTGTTTCAACATARGAGTTTTAAAATCTGCATGTCAGCAATAGTTGCTCTGTGTCTCTGGACAAATTCTAAATCCTTTCATAGCTTATTTGATCGGTTGCTTTTAATTATTTGTTTGAAATTTTTTTTTGACCTTTAAAATAAGCGAAGATGAAAAGAAATACCTATAATATCTCTTTGATTRATGATCCTTGCTATTCTCCCTGAAGCATGAAAACACATCCCTCAGTCTTGATGCAAGGCACAGAATTGCCAGGAACGATTTTTTTTTTCCYGTCTATCCCCAGTCTTGTCTAACTTCATAAAAGCTCCTGTGTTGCGACAGCTTTTCAGAGCACTGTGGCACAAGTAACTCTCCACATAACAGCAGAGGAGGTTCTACTTTCTCAATCATTCATCTTTGTATCTGATAGGATTAGAAAAGCMCACAGCTAGTTTTTCCAACAACATTGCAGCTGTAGTAGCCCTCCAGAGCTGCCYGAGTTCTGGTGTATGTAGCTGTGTGTCGAGCTACAGCATTCCTGCACACAGGAAAACACCACTGGTAGCACGATGCAGCTGTGCCAGTGCTGGAAGGTGGGTAAGTAGTGCCCTTGTGTGGATGCTGCCTCCTCCGTTTTGTTCATGGCCATCAACCAGTCTTGCTTTGCCTTTTATTCATCTCTTTGTTGAACACAGTCCTGATCCCATTTAACAGCTCCCTAACTGACTGGGCTCCCTTTTATTCCCAGTCTCTGACATGACCGTGTGAACACTTCTCCTTTTGAGCACTTTCCTGTGTGTATGTTCMTATTATGAATATTTAGAGTGCAAGCATTCAGGCCCAAACTTTTTTTTCTTAGTAGCAAGATGTAGTTTCCCTTTATTATCCTGCATCTCTGTAAAGAAAGAGCATGCTCCCAAGAGAAAGCAAGCATTACTGTCAATTGGCAAAGCTGGAGTGCCATTTATGTTAGTAAAAATGAACTTCAACTAACAGTAGCCTTTCCCCTCTTCTCTTCTCTGTAYGGTTTTCCATTTGTTACCTTGTTTTCCTAGTTGGTTCTTTTTTCAGCTCTAACGTGTAAGTTTGCAGGAGGAGAATGCTTAGTTTGGAGTATTTATCTTCCTTTTTCTTTCTCTCAGACTCTTCTATTTATCACCCTTTTTTCCTTATATTTTCCTTATATTTTACTTATCGTGCCATCAGSTAGAAGTGCTTTAAACACTGTTGGTCTTGTGTGAGACATTTTCTCACCGCAGGAACACCTTTAGTTTGCCAAAGCTCTAAGCGTTATGTTCAAAAAGCAGGAAACATCTCTCCAAAGATACATACTAGCAAGGTAAGGACTGCAGCTCATCTTGAGAACTAACACATTTCATCTCGAAGACCAGCCTGTCTCCCAACCATGTCTGGATATCGTCTTCCGCACCTGGTGAAGCCCCCACACAACGCATGATGAGAGGCTAGGCTCTGATTCAATCTGCATCTACACCTTTGGTGGGTATTGTGGAAGCAACAGGATCCCTATGGCAAGTTCCTGCCTTAGCAGTCCCAATTCTCCCTGCTCACAAGATCATACAGGATTCTCTGCCTGGATTTTCTTCAGCATTCACTACTACTGCTTGCTATTATCATGGGTGCCTTGGAATGCTAGAGAAGGTGTCCTGAGAAACCTGAAGTAAGGGAACTGATGGTGCTGAGCAACCAAAGGCTTATGCTACATTTCAGAGTCCCCATCCCTTTCAAGATACTTGGATTTTTGCTTGGTTGGTTGGTTTTGTTCTGTTTGTCTTCCCAGTGTGGCAGCGACCTCTCACTAGTGACAATAATGAAACTAATCTCCATCCTGAGTAACACTGGGGCAAAGAGTAAATTCCCTCAAACCTAGAGTCAGTAATTTCACCTGGTGAAATTGGTGGACCCAAACAGAGTTTGCCTTCAG